ATTCATCTTTATTCATTATTGGCAGGTGCATCAAGTTAAAAAGCAACACCGGGGGGAGCCACACAATGGTGTCGAGGATTTTTTTTTTTTTTATGTTGAAAAATGTTTGGGTCTGAGCAAAGGCTGCAAACTTCCCTTTGGAAACCTCTGCTGATCTTTTGCCCCAGGGGCTAACGACAGCCTGGAATCTGGGACAGATTTCCACATCCATGCAGGGTGAGATGATCCGGGGGGAGGGGAGGGATTGTGGGGGAGGCAGAGGGAAAAGGGTCAGAGGGTCTGAGGGCAGTAGATTGAGGGTGGGGGACACACGGGGGACACTGCGGGGGAGGCTGAGGGAACAGGGTCAGGGTGGGGGCTGAGGGCAGTGGGTCTGAGGGGAGCCCCCACAGAAAGACCTGCCAGGGAGCCAGGTCCCTCCCAGTCCCTCTGGCTCCTTCCTAAGGTTGGGTCGGGTCAAGGGGAGGGGGGCAGGAGCGGGGGGGCTCTCTGCCAAAGTCTACAAACCCCGCCCCGCTGCAGCACGCAGGGGAGCGAGACCTCTTCGCTGCCTCTCTGTGTGCCCCGGGCAGGGGGAGGGCTGTGCTCTGCAGGCTCCTGTCAGCCAGGCGGGGGGCCCCATGGGCTGACACCGCCGCGCCAGGAGCTCTCAGCTGCGCCCTGGCCCAAGGAGGAAAGGTGAGTGGCGCCGGCTTGCCGCGGTTCCCCCAGCGCGGCTGCCCTGTCAGCCGCTTTTGGGTCTTTAAATAGCCATCTGGGGGGAAATCCCGGACATTTTTAGCTTTTTACAAATTCCCCCCGGACGGCTATTTAAAGACCCAAAAGCCGGACATGTCCGGGGAAACCCGGACATATGGTAACCCTAGTTTTTTTACACAGACTTCTTTTCTAACTTTTTTTAAAACACTGTTAAAGTTTTAAAAAAATGGCGAGATTGCATTGAAAGATACTTTATGAAAGTTGTAACAAGTATTTTATTCCATTTACTGATTTTAAAAGACAAAAACCACTGCTTTGTGACTGCGTGAAGCTTAGAGATAGCCTATCTGAAGAATACCCTCACCCCTTGACTTTCCCCCAATACTTTTAACACTTGCTAAACATGCAGTGTTTCATTATATAAAGGTTTTTAACATTTAAAACGAAAATACAGAATTGACTGAGATGTAACATAACATGACCTTTTTAAAGGATATTCTGTATGCAGTGAGGTCTATTTGAAGCATTATGTTTTTTTAAAAGTTTATTATGAAAAAGCAGTATTGCCTGAGCTGTAACAAAACAAGGCCCCTCTTAGGGATATTTTGTAGAAGTTTAGTGAACTAAAATGGCTTAAGATACTAGCCTGTTCTTTTAAAAATAGTGTTTTTAAAGTACCAAAACAACTCATGGGTAAGAATATGAAAACTGGCAATTGAGGGGAGTTTACATATGTGTTTTAATTAAAAAAAAACCCAAGATTGCTTTTTAAAGTTTGGATTTATACAAAAAACACAAGAAAAATTAGCTTATGTAAAAAAAGTTAGCTGTTTTTTACCAGAGATATGGAGCCTTCTTCACCCCCACTCTCTCCACACATACACACACACACACACTTTTCTCTCCCCCCCCTTTCTTCTTTTTCAATGTTTTTTTAAAATCTAAACCAGGGGACAATCAATTTTTTTAAAAAAAAAAAGCCAGAGCCACAGAGAGAAGGCCATGGGGGGTAAGAAAGCTCTCCTGAGTTTTAGGGGGCATGTTGATAACTATTTTAGTGAAACGGTTTTGTAGGCAGCCTGTCTGTGTTAGTTGTTATGCTTTAGCATGGGCAAGCGTTTTATCATTTGGA